GCTTCTCCCCCTTCCCCCCGCGGCTCCCAGCCCCCTTCCCTCCCATGTTTTGGGGTCCCCCCAGCCCGGGGGGGCTCTGGGGGATCCCCTGTGGGGGTCTTGTCCCCCTAAAGCCGCCGCCGTCCCCCCCAGTCGGAGGCCGGGCCCGCGGACGCCGTCCCCCGGCGCGAGGAGTCGCCCATGGACGTGGACCAGCCCTCGCCCGCCCCGCAGGACGTGGGTGAGAACCCCCCCAGTCACCCTCCAGTATGGCCCAGTGTCACCCAGTCACCCCCAGTGCCACCCAGTCACCCCTCCAGTGTCACCCAGTCACCCCCAGTGCCACCACTGGGGTCATTCCCCCTCCCGTGCTGGTGCAGGGCCATCCCAGTATCACTGCAGGGCGTGGTACTGGTGGGGTTGGGTGGCACTGGTGGGGTGGCACTGGTTGGGCAGGTGGCACTGGTTGGGTGGCACTGGTTGGGCAGGTGTCACTGGTTGGGTGGGTGTCACTGGTGGGGTGGCACTGGTTGGGCAGGTGGCACTGGTTGGGTGGCACTGGTTGGGCAGGTGTCACTGGTTGGGTGGGTGTCACTGGTGGGGTGGCACTGGTTGTTGGGCAGGTGTCACCAGTGGGGTGTCACTGGTCACTCGGCCACGTCCTGACCTTGTCCCTCCCCAGGCCCCGAGGCCGCGCAGGGTGGGGACCGGGACAGGGACAGGGACAGGGAGGAGCGGCCCCCTGAGCTGCCCCTGCTGAGCGAGCAGCTGAGCCTGGACGAGCTGTGGGACATGCTGGGAGAGTGCCTCAAGGAGCTCGAGGAGTCCCACGACCAGCACGCCGTGCTCGGTGCGTCACCCCAAATCCTGGGGGACCTCAAAAACACAGGGCTGACCCTAAACCCCGGGGCGGTGGGCTGGATTCTGTACAGGGACCCCAAAAACACAGGGCTGACCCTAAACCCCGGGGCGGTGGGCTGGATTCTGTACAGGGACCCCAAAAACACAGGGCTGACCCTAAATCAATCCCAGGGTAGTGGGCTGGAATCTATAGAGGGGCCCCAAAAACACAGGGCTGACCCTAAATCCTGGCATGGTGGGCTGGATTCTATAGAGGGGTCCCTGAGCCATACAGGTGACACTAAATCCGTATGGGGGGCTGGAACCTCTGTCCCAGGCTGTTTGCCCCCCATCAAGGGGTGTTCCACCCCACAGCGTTCCCCAATCCTTGGGTGTCCCCCCAGTTCTGGGATGTTCCCTTCCCCTATTCCAGTGTGTCCCCCCCATCCCAGGGTGTTTCCCTCCACCTCCATCCCATTGTGTCCCTCTGTCCCATTCCCATCCCGCTCACCCCGCACTGTCCCCGTGCCATGCTGCCCTCTGACTCCACGATGTCCCCGTGTCCCTGTTCCCACCCTGCTGTCCCCATGCTGTCCCCCTGCCTTACGTGGCCCGCTGTCCCCACTCTGTCCCCGTGCTGTCCCTGTGCTGTCCCCCTGCCCCACACCACCCCGTCCCCACCCTGTCCCTGTGCTGTCCCCTGCCCCACGCCACCGCTGTCCCCCTGCTGTCCCCTTGCTGTCCCCATGCTGTCCCATGCCCCATGCCACCGCTGACTGCGTGCTGTCCCCACCCTGTCCCCACGCTGTCCCCGCCCTGTTCTATGCCCCATGCCACCGCTGACCCTATGCTGTCCCCACCCTGTCACTGTGCTGTCCCCACCCTCTCCCCGTGCTGTCCCCTGCCCCACGCCGCCGCTGACCCTATGCTGTCCCCACCCTGACTCTGTGCTGTGCACTGCCCCATGCCGCCACTGACCCCGTGCTGTCCCCACCCTGTCCCCACACTGTCCCAGTGCTGTCCCCACACTGTCCCTACCCTGTCCCCTGCCCCATGCTGCCACTGACCCTGTGCTGTCCCCGTGCTGTCCCCACGCTGTCCCCATGCTGTCCCCTGCCCCACGCCACTGCTGTCCCCATGCTGTCCCCTGCCACATGCCACTGCTGTCCCCGTGCTGTCCCCACTGCTGTCCCCGTGCTGTCCCCTGCCCCACGCCACTGCTGTCCCCGTGCTGTCCCCACCCTGTCCCCGTGCTGTCCCCGTGCTGTCCCCACCCTGTCCCTGTGCTGTCCCCGTGCTGTCCCCACCCTGTCCCCGTGCTGTCCCCTGCCCCACTCCGCCGCTGACCCCTGTCCCGCAGTGCTGCAGCCGGCCGTCGAGGCGTTTTTCCTGGTGCACGCCACGGAGCGCGAGAGCCGCCCGCCGGTGCGGGACACGCGGGAGAGCCAGCTGGCACACATCAAGGACGAGCCACCCCCGCTGTCCCCCGCGCCCCTCACCCCCGCCACCCCCTCTGCCCTGGACCCCTTCTTCTCACGGGAGCCCTCGGCCATGCACATCTCGGCCAGCCTGCCCCCGGACACGCAGAAATTCCTGCGCTTCGCCGGTGAGCCGGGGCGCTGGGGGGGCTTCACGGGGGGCTTTGGGGATTGGGAAAGTGGGGAAAGGCTTTGGGAGTGTGAGGAGGGGGTTTGGGGGAGCTGAAGGCAGCTTGGAGGGTGTTTGGGGGCTTTGGAGGAGGGATGTGGGAGTTGGGAAAGTGGGGAAGGGGTTGGGGGGTGCTGAAGGCAGCTTGGAGGGTGTTTAGGAGCTTTGGGGTTGGTTAGGGTGTGGGGAAGGGGATTGGGAGTGTGGGGAGGGGGTTTGGGGGGGCCGAAGGCAGCTTGGAGGGTGTTTGGGAGCATTGGAGGGAGATTTGGGGGAGTTTAAGGGATTGAGGAAGTGGGGAAGGGGTTGGGAAGGGTTTTGGGTGGGCTGGAGGCAGCTTGGAGAGTTTTTAGGGGCTTTGGGGGTGCCTTTGTGGAGTGGGAAAGTTGGGAAGTGCTTTGGGAGTGTGGGGAGGGGGTTTGGGGGGCTGAAGGCAGTTTGGAGGGTCTTTGGGGGGAGCTTTGAGGGAGCTTAAGGGATTGGGGAAGGGATTAGGAGTGTGGGGAGGGGTTTTGGGGGGATTCGAGAGGGGTTTTGGGACGTTGGGGAGGGGTTTGGGGGAACCCCAAGGATTTGGGAAGGGCGTTTGGGGAGACCCCAAGGCTTTGAGACTGTGAATTTGGGGAGGCTTTGGAGAGGGAAAATTTGGGGGATTTTTGGGCTCCTCAAGTCTTTAGAAAGTGGGAATTTGAGGAGGATGAATTTGGGGGATTTTTGGGCTCCTCAACACTTCGAGATCCGCGCGAGCCGAGATCGAGGCCACCAACAGCACCTTCCAAACACTGAGGGGGAAAAACCTCCCCTCCTGAAGAACCACAACCGCAGGCCATTCCAGGAGGGGGGGTTCCCCTATTCGGGGACACCCCCAAACCCCTTTTTTTATCCCCCCCCAGAGACCCACCGGACGGTGCTGAACCAGATCCTGCGGCAGTCCACCACGCACCTGGCCGACGGCCCCTTCGCCGTGCTGGTCGACTACATCCGCGTGCTGGACTTCGACGTCAAGCGCAAGTGAGTGGCCTGGGGGGGTCCCAGGAAGGGGGGTCTCGGGGGTCCCGCAGCCCCTGACACCCCCTTTTTGCCCTGGTCAGGTATTTCAGGCAGGAGCTGGAGCGCCTGGACGAGGGGCTGCGCAAGGAGGACATGGCCGTGCACGTCCGGCGCGACCACGTCTTCGAGGATTCGTACCGGGAGCTGCACCGTAAATCCCCCGAGGAGATGAAGAACCGCCTGTGAGAGCCCCCGGGGACACCCCAAAATATCTCCTGGGAGCCCCAAAATATCCCCTGGAATATCCAAAATATCCCCTGGGACACTGAAAATACACTTTGGATACCCCAAAATACCTCCTGGGACACCCAAAACACCCCTGGGAACCTCAAAATATCTCCTGGGACACCCAAAACACCCCTGGGAACCTCAAAATATCTCCTGGGACACCCAAAACACCCCTCCAGCCTCCCCATATCCCCCTAAGCCTCCCCAATTTCCCCCCAAGTTCCCCCAAAAATGCCCCCAAGCCCCCGCAAACCACCTCCAAACCCCCCAATTCTCCCGAAAACCACCTCCATCCTCCCCAAAATCTCTCCCACCCCCCCTAACCCCCCCAATTCCCCGCAGGTACATCGTGTTCGAGGGCGAGGAGGGCCAGGACGCCGGGGGCCTGCTGCGGGAGTGGTACATGATCATCTCCCGCGAGATGTTCAACCCCATGTACGCCCTGTTCCGCACCTCGCCCGGCGACCGCGTCACCTACACCATCAACCCCTCGTCCCACTGCAACCCCAACCACCTGAGCTACTTCAAGTTCGTGGGCAGGATCGTGGCCAAGGCCGTCTACGACAACCGGCTGCTGGAGTGCTACTTCACCCGCTCCTTCTACAAACACATCCTGGGCAAGTCCGTGCGGTAAGGGGCGAGCCGCGGCGGCCCGGGGGGCTGGGTGAGCTGGGGGGGTGTTTGTGGGGAGTGGGAGTGTGTTTGTGGGGGTGGGATTGTGTCTGTGGGGTGTGGGAGTGTGTCTGTGGGGTGTGGGAGTGTGTCTGTGGGGTGTGGGAGTGTGTCTGTGGGGTGTGGGAGTGTGTCTGTGGGGTGTGGGAGTGTGTCTGTGGGGTGTGGGAGTGTGTCTGTGGGGTGTGGGAGTGTGTCTGTGGGGTGTGGGAGTGTGTCTGTGGGGTGTGGGAGTGTGTCTGTGGGGTGTGGGAGTGTGTCTGTGGGGTGTGGGAGTGTGTCTGTGGGGTGTGGGAGTGTGTCTGTGGGGTGTGGGAGTGTGTCTGTGGGGTGTGGGAGTGTGTCTGTGGGGTGTGGGAGTGTGTCTGTGGGGTGTGGGAGTGTGTCTGTGGGGTGTGGGAGTGTGTCTGTGGGGTGTGGGAGTGTGTCTGTGGGGTGTGGGAGTGTGTCTGTGGGGTGTGGGAGTGTGTCTGTGGGGTGTGGGAGTGTGTCTGTGGGGTGTGGGAGTGTGTCTGTGGGGTGTGGGAGTGTGTCTGTGGGGTGTGGGAGTGTGTCTGTGGGGTGTGGGAGTGTGTCTGTGGGGTGTGGGAGTGTGTCTGTGGGGTGTGGGAGTGTGTCTGTGGGGTGTGGGAGTGTGTCTGTGGGGTGTGGGAGTGTGTCTGTGGGGTGTGGGAGTGTGTCTGTGGGGTGTGGGAGTGTGTCTGTGGGGTGTGGGAGTGTGTCTGTGGGGTGTGGGAGTGTGTCTGTGGGGTGTGGGGGTGTGTTTGTGGGGTGATGGAGCCCCTCAGAAGGGGGTGGGAGTGTGTTTGTCGGGGTGGGACTGCATTTGTGTAGGGTGGGAGTGTGTTTGTGGGGGGTGGAACCTTTTTTTGGGGTGTGGGACTGCGTTTAGGGGCTGATGGAGCCCCTCAGAGGGGGGTGGGATTGCATTTATGGGGTGGGGGTGTGTTTGGGGGGTGTGGGACTGTGTTTGGGGGGGGTGGGACCGCGTTTGTGGGGTGCTGCAGTCATTTACAGGATGCTGGAGCCATTTGTGGGGTGCTGGACACCCTTGAAAAGTTATTTGGAGTCATTTGTGGGGTGCTGGACACTCTCAGAGGGGGTGGGACTGTATTTATGGGGTTCTGAACCCCTGGCAGGGTCTGACCCTGTTTTTTTGGGCTCTCCAGCAGGGTCTGACCCTGTTTTGGGGCTCCCCATGGTTTCTGACCCCATTTTTGGGGCACTGCCCCCTGTTTTTTGGCCCCCCAGGTACACGGACATGGAGAGCGAGGACTATCACTTCTACCAGGGCCTCGTGTACCTGCTGGAGAACGACGTCTCCACGCTGGGCTACGACCTCACCTTCAGCACTGAGGTGGGAACCCCCCAAAACCAGCACCGGGACCCCCCTGGGACCTCCAAAACCGGCATCAGGACCTCCCAAAACCAGCATCAGGACACCCCAAAACCAGCACCAGGACCCCCAAATTTGGGAATGTTTGAGGTCCAGGGATGTCCCTACGCCCTGCTGACCCGCCCCAATGCCCCCCTGTGCTCCCCCAGGTGCAGGAATTTGGGGGTTTGTGGCTCAGGGATGTCCCCACACCCTGCTGACCCCCCCTGGCACCCCATGCCCCCCCAGGTGCACAAATTGGGGGGCTTTGAGGTTCCCCAGGTGTGGAAATTTGGGGCATTTGAGGTTCAGGAATATCCCCACACCCTGCAGACCACCCTATGCCCACCACAGGTGCAGGAATTTGGGGTGTTCGAGGCTCAGGGATGTCCCCTCTGTGTCCCCACACCCTGCTGACCCCCCTGTGCCCCCCCAGGTGCAGGAATTCGGGGTGTGCGAGGTGCGGGACCTGAAGCCCAACGGGGCCAACGTGCTGGTGACGGAGGAGAACAAGAAGGAGTACGTGCACCTCGTGTGCCAGATGCGCATGACCGGTGAGCATCGGGGCCGGGGGGGACTCTGGGGGGGCTCCTGAGACCCTCCTGACCCCCCCAAAATCCCATGGCAGGCGCCATCCGGAAGCAGCTGGCGGCGTTCCTGGAAGGATTCTACGAGATCATCCCCAAGCGCCTCATCTCCATCTTCACGGAGCAGGAGCTGGAGCTGCTCATCTCGGGGCTGCCCACCATCGACATCGACGACCTCAAGGCCAACACCGAGTACCACAAGTACCAGGGCAACTCCATCCAGGTGGGGCTGGCACCTGGGGGGGTGTTCAGGGGGGATTTCAGGGGGTTCTGGGGGGATTTCAGGAGGTTCAGGGGAGATCTCAGGGGGTTATGGGGGGATTTCAGGGGGTTCTGGGTATCAGGGTGACTCCATCCAGGTGGGCCTGACACCTGGGGGGCGTCCTGGGGCTACTTCAGGGGGTTCTGGGGGGATTTCATGGAGTTCTGAGGGGATTTCCGGGGGTTCTGGGGGGATTTCATGGAGTTCTGAGGAGATTTCAGGGGGTTCTGGGGGAATTTTGGGGAGTTCTGAGGAGATTTCAGGGGGTTCTGGGGGGATTTTGGGGAGTTCTGAGGAGATTTCAGGGAGTCTGAGGAGATTTCAGGAGGTTCTGGGTACCAGGGTGACTCCATCCAGGTGGGGCTGGCACCTGGAGGGTCCTGGGGGGATTTCAGGAGGTTCTGGGGCTACTTCAGGGGGTTCTGGGTGGATTTCAGAGGGTCCTAGGGGGGGATCTGAGGGTATTCCAGAGGATTCTGTAGGGTTCCAGAGGGTTCTGGAGGGATCCAGGGCGTGCTGGGGCGAGGTTTTGGGGAGCATCCTGGTGGGATTCCAGGGGCTCCCGGTGGCTGACTGTCCCTGTCCCCCTGAGTGGCAGTGGCTGACTGTCCCTGTCCCCGTGCCCAGATCCAGTGGTTCTGGCGTGCCCTGCGCTCCTTCGACCAGGCCGACCGCGCCAAGTTCCTGCAGTTCGTGACGGGCACGTCCAAGGTGCCCCTGCAGGGATTCGCCGCCCTCGAGGGCATGAACGGCATCCAGAAATTCCAGATCCACCGCGACGACCGCTCCACCGACCGGCTGCCCTCGGCCCACACCTGGCGAGGGACATGGGGGGCACATGGGGGGGACATGGAGACACTGACCAGCTGCTCTTGGCCCACACCTGGCGAGGGACATGGGGGGGACATGGGGAGGACACGGTGACACTGACCAGCTGCTCTCAGCCCATACCTGGTGAGGGACACGGGAGGGACATGAGGGAGACATGGTGGGGACATGGAGACACTGACCAGCTGCTCTTGGCCCACACCTGGCGAGGGACATGGGGGGCACATGGGGGGGACATGGAGACTCTGACCAGCTGCTCTCAGCCCACACCTGCTGAGGGACACAGGGGGGACATGGGGACACTGAGGAGGACACAGTGGGGGACATGGAGGGGACACTGAGCACTGCTCTCGGCCCACACCTGCTGAGGGACACAGGGTGGACATGGGGACATGGGGGGGGACATGGGGACACCGACGTGCTGCCCTTGGCCCACACCTGGTGAAGGACACAAGGGGGACATGAGGACATGGGGAGGACATGGGGAGGACATTGGGGACACACTGAGCAGTGCCCTCAGCCCACACCTGGTGAGGGACACGGGGACATGGTGACACGGGAGGGACATGGGGACACTGAGGAGGACACACCATGGGGGATATGGAGGGGACACTGAGCTCTGCTCTCGGCCCACACCTGATGAGGGACACGGGGGTGACAGGAGGACGTGAGGGGACGCTGACAGTGTCTCCCCATCACACACCTGGTGACAGGGACAGGGACATGAGGTGACACTGGCCACTGTGCTGTCCCCCTGGCACACAGCTGGTCTGGGGACATGGGGGACACAGGGACAGGAGGACAGAGGGACAGACACTGACCAGCTGCTCTCAGCCCATACCTGGTGAGGGACATGGGGGGCACATGGGGGGGACATGGAGACTCTGACCAGCTGCTCTCAGCCCACACCTGCTGAGGGACACAGGGTGGACATGGGGACATGGGGGGGGACATGGGGACACCGACGTGCTGCCCTTGGCCCACACCTGGCGCAGGACACAAGGGGGTCATGAGGACATGGGGAGGACATGGGGAGGACATTGGGGACACACTGAGCAGTGCCCTCAGCCCACACCTGGTGAGGGACACGGGGACATGGTGACACGGGAGGGACATGGGGACACTGAGGAGGACACACAGTGGGGGATATGGAGGGGACACTGAGCTCTGCTCTCGGCCCACACCTGCTGAGGGACATGGGGGTGACAGGAGAACCTGAGGGGACGCTGACAGTGTCTCCCCATCACACACCTGGTGACAGGGACAGGGACATGAGGTGACACTGGCCACTGTGCTGTCCCCCTGGCACACAGCTGGTCTGGGGACATGGGGGACACAGGGACAGGAGGACAGAGGGACATGGGGGGACAGTCTTGGCAGACTTGGCACACACCTGGCGAGGGGACACAGGGACACAGGAGGGACATGGGGACACGGACAGAAGGACATGAGGGGACACTGAGATCATAATCCCAACCCTCACCTGGTTTGGGGACACGGGAATGGGGGACACAGGAGGGGACATGAGGGGACACGGAGCACCTGCCCCTGGCACACACCTGGTGAGAGGACACGGGGGGACATCAGGGGACAGACACATGGCCACCACCACCGTCTGCCACACCTGGGACAGAGTGACATGAAAGGGGACACAGGAGGACACGGAGATGGGGTGAGGTGACCACGAGGAGCAGGACTGGGGAGGGGGGGTGGGACAGTGACGCCGCATCGGAGCTGGGGGGGACAAAGCTGGGACAGGAACGCGGGGACAGCGGGACGTGGGCGTGGTGACAGTGACACGCGTGTGTGTCCCCAGCTTCAACCAGCTGGACCTGCCGGCCTACGAGAGCTACGAGAAGCTGCGGCACATGCTGCTGCTGGCCATCCAGGAGTGCTCCGAGGGCTTCGGGCTGGCCTAGGGGGGCCGCGCCGGCCCCCCGCAGGGGCTCTATAAATATATATATATTTTTTGGTTCCATTGGCTTTTTTTGGTTTGTTTTGGTTTTTTTTTTTGGTTTTTTTTTTTTTTTTTTTTTTTTTTTTTTTTTTTTGGGGTTTATTATTTTTTTTTTTTTCTCCAGTCCCGGTTTGGGGGGGGGTTTTTGCTCTGTTGGAGGGTTGGGGGTTCTCTCTTCCCCCCTCCCCCTCCCCCTCTCCTCACCCCCTCCCCCTGTGTGGGGGCTGGGGGGCGCAGGGTGGTGAAAGGGGGGTGCCCCTGAAATTATAAATAAGAAGTTCAGCCCCTCCCCCCACCCCAAAACTGAGAGAAAAAGTTTAAAAAAAAAAAAGGAATAAAAAAGTGCACTCTTGGTAAGGGCAGTCCCGGTCGTTCTTGGGGGCAGGGGTGGTCTTGGCCGCCATCTTGGGTGTGGTGGGGGACAGGGTGGAGTCCGGTCGCCATCTTGGGTGTGGCGGGCTGACACGCGGGGCCGCCATGTTGGATGTGGCACTAAAGGCGGGTTCTGCTGTCCGCCATCCTCAGCGTGGCCGTGTCGCTGCCGCCGCCATGTCGAGTGTGGCACGTTGAGGACACTGGAGGGAGGGGCCGGGACGCCAACGTGGGTGTGGCCCGGGGGTGTGGATGCTGCCAGAAGGTGGCCGCCATCTTGGGTGTGGTATCTGCGTGGGGGCCGCCATTTTGAGTGTGTCCGGTGGCCGCCATGTTGGGCGTGGCGATGAAGGGACGCTGCCGCCGCTTTTACTCCGCGCCGGAAGTGGCGTCACTCCGCGGCGCCAGCGATCCCCGGCGGCGTGGGAGCCGCAGCCATGACCCGGTCCCGTGAGTTCGGGGAGGCACCGGGAGGGCTCGGGGGGGCTCTGGGGACCCTCCCGCACTCACCCCGCCCCTCCCCGCAGGACGACAGGTGGAGGCGTCCCGGAAGAAGCGCGTCCAGGTGAGCCCCAGCCCGGGGGAGGCAGGGAGGGAGCCGGGCGGGTTTGGGGTGCAGCCCCCGGGATGTGACAACCCCCCCTCGGTGTCACCCCCGCGTTGTCCCCAGGCCCGGCTCGCCCGTGTCGGGATCAAGAAGGACCCGGGGGTGCCGCAGCTCGGCCGCTTCGCCGCCTTCGCGCAGAAACAGCAGAGCGAGACCCGGCAGAGACGGGTGAAGAACCGGGGGGCGTTTTGGGGGTGACCCCGCCGGGGGGAGTTTGGGGTTGTCCTCCAGATGCAACCGCGGGAGGGATTTTGGGGTTCCCCCGCGGTATTTTGGGGTGTTCCTGGTAGATTCGGAGCACAAAAGGATTTTGGAGCTTTGCTCCCACTGAGATCTCGGCGGGGCATTTTGGGGTCCCCCCCCCCAAGTAGGAACTTGGGGGGGCTGTGTGGGGTCAGGGGGATGTGACCTCAGGGGGGATTTGGGGTCTGAACCGGGTGGGTTTGGGGCCTGACCCAGGGGGGGTTTGGGGTCTGACCTTGGGGGGGGTTTGGGATCTGAACCGGGGGGTTTGGGGTCTGACCTTGGGGGGGG